AAGTAGTGTTCAAACACGTTAAATGATTTAGAAGTTGCAGGCCAACACACAGTGCTCGGTTAGGAAGCTCCAAACAAAACTGCATGTTATTTTAATCTTTCCTCAGTACGCCCTCTGATGTGATCTTTAATTGATCTTTAATTACACAATGACATGCCTTTTTTTTTTTTTTTTTTTTTTGGTGCCACTGGAAACCTTCAGTAAAACTTGATAAGAAATTGCCTTCTTAATTAAATTCTCAGTTTATTAATAATGCTTCAAATGAACTTCTCCTCTTTGCCTGTAACTTGCAGAGCTTTCCAATAGATTTGCACTGCCAGCAGTGTCTTTGAATTTTTAACCAAGTTTAGCTATGCCCTGACTGTCTTACATTCTTATTTAAACTTCAGCATGCACCTGCATCACTGACCATGACTTAGGCTTTTCTGTTCCTTTCTTGAATTATGATCTTGAAATGTTACCTCAGTGCTCTATAATATCAGCCCTACTTGTAGGGTGTGGCTCCTTTGGAAACAACAGAAAGAGGTCTATAATTATTTGTTATTGCTTAATTGACCAAGTTGGAAATAGTGTCTAGTCTTAAACTGGATTTTGGCTTTAGGAAGTTTTGGAGTGTTGAAGCATCTGCATTAAATTGTAGCTACCATCAATCGCAACTCTTCAGGATGTTACTGGAACTGGCCCTGGAATATCTTCCAACATCAACAAAAATAAATGCTGTCTTGAGATGAAGTATCTTTTTCTAACATATGTAAAGCATTCTATATTCTTCATACAATCTCTGAAAGATGAGCTACTTTGTCACTGATGAGTCAACAAGGAAGAAGGATGCTTTCTACTTTAATTAAATGGAATATATAATAGAAACAGGAGACGACTAACTCTTAGAACAGTCCACAGAGAGCTCCAAGTAATAAACATCCTACTTGAACTGAGATGATGATAGCTGAAAATGCATTAAGTAGACAGAGAAACAAAAACAAATGAAGGTGAGAACTCAGTCAAGCAGGCTGAAGTGGAGTAAACACTCTGTCAGGAGGGTAGCCCATGTTAGTGCTAATGTGTTTTGCATTAGTATGATGCCTATAAAATACTGACTCCTGGCATCAGAGTTAATGACAAAAATCTACAACAGTTTTACTTTATATGCACATGCAGGAATAATAATAGCATAAGAAAGATTCTTACCTGTTAATGATTTTTTTTTTTAATACATATATATTGCAGCATGTGAAAGAACTGATAACAAATGGTAAGTGACAATTGTTACATAAATGTGTTATGGTTCTGAAGTCGAGTTTTGATTGATAATTGATGAAACAAAAAAGATCAGACAGTACCAGAAATACGCACCAAATCAAGTTGCTATTTTTAGAGTGTTGTTCAGAGGACCAGATTAATCAAGCTAAACTTCTAATAAGAGGATTACATATATATCAATATTAGGAGGATTTGTAGCTTCGTTAGCAACTTCAGAGGAAGTAATACCTTCATGTATGCTACTGACTAAAATGAAATACTTTCTGTGACTGGTTGAGGTTCATAAAATAAATTTCAGCCCTGGAGGGTTATACAGAGGACAGTGCTAAGCATCTAAAATCATTTGCCATTAGTCTTGTTATCTAGTCCAAGCCCGTATTGTTGGCAATCAGGACCCAGCCGATACCTGCTGCAAGATGAGGAAGAAGGGCCCGTAGGCAATATGGTAAAGATGAGGGCAGGGCTGTTGGCTGCTGAAACAGCAGAAATCTGCTCCTCACTGGGGCTTCTGTGTATGACTCCAGCCAGAATCCTTAGCGGTGGTGTGATCTGGCCTTGAACCCCTTTTCACTGACTCTTTCCTGTGTGGCACAGAGTTGGTACGTGGGTGCTTGTGCCAGTTTTGCAAGGGCAGGAGGCCGGTGGCAATGTGACTTGAGAAGCTGTCAGGGTGCCCCCACGTCATGGGCTCAAGCATTTTGGGTGTAGTTTGTGAGTTAGAAAAGCTTGGAAGCAATTGCAGGCAGCATGGAAATTGGGCCAATGCCAAGGTTAGAGGAATACCAAAAGGGCTTTAAACTGTCCCCAGAGCATTTGCAAATTTGCTGGTGGTTCCTTCTCTTTACAGTGAGTAGAGTAAGGCAGAAGAAAATTAAGGGACTTGTCCAGGGTGAGAGTAAGTCACACTGAGAACAAGAATGAAAAGCTTTGTCTTCATCTCCAGGGTTATGTCTCTCTAAACTCTAAAAGAAGAGAGTTTGAGAACTCCTTCATGTAAAGAACTACAGCTGATGCCAGCTGAGCCATGTATAACAACAGACTGCCTGACTCAGACTTCCAGGGGCGTCTCACCAGAGTTGAGCCTTGGCAGGGCAGTACAGGCTTACTCTAATAAAATACTCCTGGCTGCTAGGCTCAGATCTGTCTGATCATGAGGAGTCTCCAAAGGCACATTTCTGCCAACATTTACAGAATATTATCACTTAGTGCTGGTGTAGGTGTTTCAGAAATTCTTGTTAAACAACTTGAAATTATCTGCCTTTTATGTCCTTAATTAGAAGAATTTTTGAACTGCCTGCTTTTTGCACTGCTGAAGTAGATTGAATTCTTGTTTGGCTGTGATAAAGATGCATACTGTAACCTTCTATGAACTGTGGTTGTATAAAAAACCAAGACAAGTATTCCATCTTCCTTTCTTCCCATTTGAAATGCGTTAGCCTTATTTTTGTCCTCCACCTGTTTCCTCCCTCCGACTCCCTAGGTTTTTCGTTTTCATACCTGGGTATCTACCAAGGTGCCTACCAGGTTCTTCGATGTACAGCTCAGCAGTTGGGCGCTTCAGTTTGTGGGTTTTGCAAAAGTTTGAAGCCTTACTTATTTATTTTAGGAATCATTTCAGGAGAATTATTTTAGGAGGGTGTATTCATGTGGTTTGGGTGAGAAAGTATATCACATTGAGGCAAGACGGAATAATTTCTCAGGGTTTGGGCTTCGGCAGAAGTGTGCTTGGGCTCTTCATGTGATAAAAGAACGAATCTGACCGAATAGCAGTGACATCTGTCATTTCTTACCTAAAGAGAGACATGAGGAATTGTTTCCTTTCTCACGTGCAGTTAGATCACTGCTGCTGTTCCTCTCCAGGTACTCAAGCACACAGGCATACTTGATCTCCTCTGTACTTAACAATACTTCAGTCATAAGTATGGAATAAAAATCACTGTTACCTGAACAGTTTGCTTACCACCAATCTTAAAATCTCCAGCAGCATCCCAGTTGTGCTGCTTTTAGTGCTTCCACTGTTTTCTGTTGCACTTGATGAGGTTGTTGTCCAGCTAGTGATCACTCCTATTTGATGGTGAGATATATAGTGGGCTAGTTCTGTGATGTTCTCATTCAGCAGCTCCTTTCACTTTCTTGAATATTTTCATGGATTTTTTTCATCAGAGCATTCTGAGTTCAGCTATTCTTTGTCCAGATGAGATTTTTGTCAGAGGTAACGCATGAAGCTGTTGCTGGTGGCCCTCGTGGTTATTAGTTTCTTGGTTTCTGGTTAAGAAGCCCATAGCAGTGGCGTGGGGACTTGGAACAGAGAAAGAAAATAAACAGCATATATAACTTTGAGGAGGCGTTATAGTATATACTGCTCTTAAACTCTGCTAAAAACACTTTAAAGTTTCTGTAATAATTATTTTCCATAGATGTCAGAGGGAGGTTGCCTGGTTGTGAATGGGAAAGCAGAGTGATTCATGAGTCTGCAAATGGGAGAACCAGCTCGGACGCTTTCACACCTACCTGGGCGGGTTAGGTGGTGAGAAGGTCTGGCTTACTCCCATTAATTTTCAGAAGAATTTCTGGAATGTCATCAGGGCTTCACTCCCCTGTATTTGTGTATAGACCATTTCTATGGGTTTTGCATTCTTGCATCTAAATAAGACCCAAAGTCCTGGTCATGGACAGCCATTAGTAATTGTTCAAAATAACTTCTGCAAGAAGGGTTCTAGTTAAGTGGTTAAGTTTGGCCTATAGCAAATTTGTCTAGCAATTTCAATTAGAGAAAATATTTTTTTATTTACTGTTTTTAAGATATTAGCAGTATTGCAGTGCTTTATAGCCATATTATTCTGTTGGTACAGCACATTGCATTAGATGGGAAGGCAGTTGTGATACTATCACGCAAAATGCTGCTGGTCTTGCTCCATGGAGCAGTTATGTCCAAGCTACTGAAGTTTCGCGAGTATGAAGTTTTTCTCCTAAATAATGGCTACTGCTTGCAGTACTGATATGGTAGAGCTTGCAGAAAAAAATGAGCTTCCATGTAATGAAAAAGTAATTTTAAATGAATGTATTTGAATGTGTACTTGAATGAGCTACTACTATTTGTTCATATCTTCTGTTGGTGGTTTAGGTACACAAATGGAAACTAATAAGTTAAAGATTATTATTTACTCATTACAGGTGTAACCATGAACAAAGGAACCGCTACAAAATTGTATTTTCATATTTCCTGTTCTTTCAGTATTCAGAATAGAAGATTTTTATTCACTCTGGGTTAGTCTTGGGTGAACTAAATGAGGGTCTACTTATGATTTACTAACTAGGCTATGCATTTGCATTTAAAAATCTTGCTGCTGGAAAGCATCCTAATAGCTGTTCAAATTATTTATACTTTAGGTGACTTTGTAGCTTAACCATGTTTTTAATTTTCTTCTGTGGATTATGGCGTGTAGTGACTATTTTGTTTGAGGTTGTCAGAGAGATCATAACATTGTCAGAATGCAGAAGCACCACGTTTGTAACTACTGAACACTGTTGAGGTAAAGCTGACAGTACGAATGAGCACCCATACATACCCGTGTCAGTAAGGGCAAACAAGCATTCCTGAAGCAAGATGTGAAGAAAAAACCTTAAGAATATGATCAGGACTTTACACCTTCTCTTCTGTAATTGTAGTATTTCAAGATACACTGTTTATGCATCGTTCTGTCATGGGTTTCCATTTCTTATGGTTTATTTTCTTTCAGCCTCTTGGGGCCAGTGACTATTTGGAGATATCAAAGCATTTTGACACGGTCTTTGTTCGGGACATACCACTTCTTACAATGGCAAAAAGGACACAAGCTCGTCGGTTCATTACTCTTATTGATACCTTTTATGAACATAAGGTGAGAACCAAGCCTTTCCTATATGTATAGGGGTAATATTGGGAGCCCTAAACCCTGACTGTTGTAACTGGTTTGATGTAAGGCTTTTTTTTTTGATGTAGTAGTGACTAGGAAAACATAAGCAGAATGAAACAACACTGCAAAGAAACATGATCCCAGCTTCACAAAAAAGGCCCCATTGCAATAAAGGCAAATAAGCAGGTATTTTTCTGATTTCTGTGAGTATTGAGAATGACCATAAATGGAAGCCTGAGCTCATTTGCCTTTCTTGAATAGGGGTGTTCATTTCTTTCCTAACCCAGGAAAACCACAGAATCCATGTCATCATTTTAATAATGAAAGGTTGTACTGCCAACTGTGCGGGAGTAAATTTAAATTTTTCAAATTTTTATCCCTATGGACAGTTGGTCAGGAATTAGTGCCTTCCAGAACAAGGTACGGAGGAGTTAATAGCATAGTTATATTATTAAGTTTAAAGGAAACAGTCACTCTAAGCTTTACACTAGGTTGCAGAACTGCTAATGAAGTAGTAATGATAAATGCAGCACTTCATGTGGATTTACAGAGGTTTCAATCATGGAAGCAAAATCAGCACTACTAAAACAAAGAGAAGTTCATGTTTAAGATGATTTTTTTAAAAGTAATGCCAGATATGAAACCCTATCTTATGTGTGATTATATATGCACACACTTCAACATTTATGCAATCAGGAAATATCGATTGAGATTTTTTTTTTTTTTTTTTTTTTTTCCCAAGAATGTCCTGGCAAGATGATCAGAAAGGCCCTGATTCGGCAAGGTTTTGAACTGACTTAAGCATATGAGTAGTCTCATGTAAGTCAGCCAGATTGTTTGTGCTTTATGATTTGGAAATGGACACTTTCTAAGAGGATACGTAAATATTTATAAACTAATAGTAGTGCGTTAGAATAGAAATTGGGGGGTAGGGGTGTGTCTGCTCTGTCCATGTGCTGTCATTAAGAATTGCAAGCAAACCACCTTTTCTCTTACTTCCTCCACAGGAGAACCACAAGTGTTAAACTCCCATCACAAGTAGTTGTTTGGAAAAAATACCTGAGGGAGCGTATTTGTGGGGACCTGTCCACAATGCCAACATTTTGCCTGCACGCTCTCAATGAGTGTCTCTTCCTGTAATAGCATTTTAGCCCCTCAGAGATACTGTATCTCACTGTGTGCTGTATCTTTTCCCAGCAGACATGAAAACAGCATCATAATTTTTATTAGCAAATCACGTGCACTTGAGTAGCATAGGTGAGAGCAAGAGTGGCTTTGCTCAGTCTTCTGGGAATTAGGGAATTTAAACATTCCTTAGGTGGAAGCATGTGTGCGGTGCACTTACCTACTGAGAGGAATCTAACTATGGAGGAAAGAAAGCATTGGTTACAAATACTTTATAGCTGTGATTTTAGAAAGTAAGTTTGATTGTGAAGTCATTGCCTGTAGATATTCTGCGTATTTAATCGGACATGTATGCTGTTCTCTGAGTAAGTTACAGGAGTTGTTACTGAGAAAAAGATCCTGAAAGGTTAATATTCTAAATGACTAAATCAGGTAAATCTGTAACAGCAGTGCTGACAAGAGAAAGGGAGAATACCTGGAAGAAAACCAAGGTTGTAATTTGAAGTTTGCTTTTCAGAAAACATGTATTTTATCCCTTTTCTGTAAAGCCCAAGTGATGATACTGTTGCCTGTTTTCCTTCTCTCAGGTGCGTATTATTTGTTCTGCAGTGACTCCTCTCCAGAGCTTGTTCCTGGTAGAACATGACAAGGGTGAGCTAGAGGACAACAGAGTGCTGATGGATGATTTGGACTTGAGCCAGGTACATGATATTAACATCATTTCCCTTTTGTAACAGAATTGGGTTTGGTCTCATAATTACAGCAGCATTTTAGGAAGAGGAATCAAGTACGCATTTAACTAGTGATTTGCTGCTTTTTCTGCAGTGTATCTTGCTCTCGTAGTTGCAAGTTATGTTATCTATTCATAGTCAAAGAAAACAGAACTATTTTGCATAAGTTTTAGGGTCATTTTAATCGTTAATCATTATATCTGCTCAATCATGTATGAAAATACTGATTTAAGTTTAGCATCTCCATTTAAAAAACAGAAATAAAAGATGGTCTGTTCTACCTCTTGCTAGACTATATAGGACTGCCTTACAAATCCTCACAAACAGTACTGTTTTGCCTGTTGCTTATTCTGGTTTTCCTTCTCCCGTTAATAGCCTAGTTATTAATGAATTTTTGAATCATTTGTCTAAATCAGTATACAATCAGTGAACAGAAAAGTGAAAACAGATGGTTACCATGTCATCATGTTGTTTTAAACCCAAATTACTGTTTTACTATGTTCTGTCAGAGGTTTACCTAGCTGAAATAGGTGTTTTTCTTTAATTTTGGGGCATTAATATTAATTGTTGGTGCCATGCTGCTGTCTTAGACAATACAAGCCTGCAAAGCACTCTGTCTTAGGAGTTAGATAGGATGCACTTCAGTACAGCTGTGTCTCTCCTCTCACAGTTCTGTGGTACTGGTTTTGTGTATTAATGCAGGATTCTGCCAAAGGACTCTCCATGTTTACAGGAGAAGAGGAACTCTTTGCTTTTCAGCGTACTGTCTCACGGCTTACAGAAATGCAAACTGAACAGTACTGGAAGGATGGGGACAGAAGCAAAAAAACATTATAAAGTTGAATAAAATCACCAAGAAGTAAAACTACAGAATTGGAAAGCTTTTTAGCACAACTGAAACAATAATTGCACTTTATCATCTGGACCATGTTTTCTTTCATCGGTTGTTTTTTGTGCTTAAGACATGAGGGCTTGGTTATTTTTCTGTACCACGGGTATGTGGACATGTGAAATTTTGCCTTAATTTTCTTTTCTGTAAAATATAACTTTGATGTTCAGGAAGTTTGGTGGGATTAGAATTTTTCTGGAGAATTGGTCTAGAGACAAAGTTAATGGGCCATGCAGCATTCACAGTAGATTTACAATGTCACGTGAAGAGGGCACTTCATGGTTCATGCACTGAGAACGTCGTGTACAATGTGGTTTGCACAAAAGAAAAATCAAATGCTTTCTTTATGAACTCCTGCTATGGTATAGGTCCCTGCTAGAACTCCTCTACCGTGTACTCTGTTGGGTATTTTTCCTGTTTTCTGTGTGTAGCCATCTGCTGACTTTCAGGCTCTTAAGAGTTTCTTGTAATCAGACTGTTGCTCAGTCTGGTTCATTGAAAACTAACAGTTTGAGCCACAGGAGAACCCTGAGGAGAAGCTTTGGAGGTACTTGAAACCGCACAGGATTAAGATCGTAAGTAATCATGGATGGGAAAGGAAACGATGATAAGACAGGGTATACTCTTCCTAAGCTTTGCGGTTCTTGCAAGCCTGGATCTGCTGCTTCTTCACCAGGGACATTTCTGTACCCTGAATTTTCTCAGGCTTCATCTGTACCAAACCTCCCGTCGCTGCTGGCACAGCCGCCCTGATCTGGGGCGCGTAGCACACGGTACTGCTGAGGCAGGTCATCCTGTTACAACGGGAATGTACTTTATGGGAAAGATGGGATATTAACTGATACCTCAGAACACATCCCCCATCCTTGTGTTTGTAGTTGGAAACTTCCTTTTAGTTCCAAATGCAATTGTGTCATTCCTGCTTTTGATCTGACACAAAATGCGGTATTGTGTGTATTGGCTTATAGTGCATTTGAATATAAAGACATTTTAAGAGCATATTTAGAAACCCTGAAGAGGGAAAAACATTATGTGGATGGACTGAAAAGATTGCCCTGATTTCTTAGGGAGGAGATACATAACACACTGTCCCCAGATTTGAGGGATTTTCTTGGATTTTGCAACATGACCTTTTCCTTGTACTGTATCTGTTACCAAAAACATTCTTCTCTGCCTTTATTAAGCCTGATTAAATTGTTTCAATCATTGCCCAGTCACAATTACAGAAAGCTTTTAAAAGGGACCTTTGGGGGGCAGGGAGGGCTGGAGAGGTCCTGTGCACTTGCCTGTGTTACAGCAATCCAGAAAGTTTGGAACCATGTGCTCAAGCCTGGTTTTCTGTTCTGATCACTTCTGTGTGTCCTAGAAGTTACTCATGCTGCCTATACCTGTTGTTCAAAGAATTTTTAAAGACTGTATTTATAGTTTATAATTTATGCAACTATGTTGTTATTCCCACAAGGGTGACTAATGCATATTTATGAAAACCCCAATAAGAATACATTGCTTATACTTGGGAATATCTGAGTAATTCATGTATATTTTCAGAGATTTGTATTGGGTTTCTCAACAGGGGGACTACTGAGATTCATGCATGTGTGTCTCTATATACACACACGTATGTATACTTAATTTATACATATATATGAATACAGAGAAAAGTAATAGATATAATTTAAGTGTGTGTGGTTCTATATTTATACATGGCAGTCTATACTTATCAACCTGGGCCTGCACTGGTAACTCCTGAAGCTTTAGTCTTGCCTTTTTTTGGTAGTAGCGTTCAGATGCCTTGTCTGAACCAGAATATATTGGGGGGAAACGGGAGGTGGTGGTAGATACCCTAAAGCACCTTGCAGCCGGATATTTACCTGCATTCCTTTAAAAACTGTTTGCATGTTTAGCCTGCACGTCCTCTTCTGTCACGCGGCCCAGGAGAAGCGCATTAGCTTGGAGCCCACGGGTGAGATGTCTGGGATGTGCGAGAGCGGAGGTCCTGGCAGGTTTGCATTCCCATGGCGACTGCCTAGGGCCAGGGAAGCCAAGTGTTTCTCCATGCTCTGTGTGGGTGACGACCGACCTCCTTTAACCCAGGGATCTCCAGAGCCCGCTGGGCAGATCTCTTCGTGTTTAAACTGGTGCAGCTTTGCTTGTTGGTATTGGAGGCTTTTCTGCAATCTGAAGGCCCATCCTCAACTCCGATACCCCAGGTTTTGGGATGTTCCTAAATGCGGTGGAACTGGTGTATCGTTGAAAGCCTTGGGGGATGGAGGGTGAGCTCTGTCAAACCACAGGAGGGAAGTTCCCCAAAGCTCCCAGAGGCGGTGCTGCTTCCGGGACATACTGCTAAATAAGCCCATGGTGCCGTCTTTCCTCGGGCAGCAAGGAAGCCGTATGTTGGGAGTCACTGGTAGGCACCAGCGGTACTCAAGGAGAAGAATGGGGAATATTCCAGAAGCGGTTTGGGGCTGAAAATAAAAGCTGCTTAAACCACTGTGCAGTATTTGTGGTTGCACTGCAGAGTGTGGATTGCCACTTCTGGGTCAGGGCCACAAGGAGAGCTTGGTGGGACCAATTTGGCAGCCAGCCCAGACACCAGGGCAGAGGTTCCCCCTGCAGTAACCACAGATGCAGCATATTCATGCCCGTCGTCTTCCCCGAAAAAAAATTGAGGCCCTATATGCTTATTTTACAGTGCTGCTAACGATGCTTGTCCTGGGTTGAGTGAGTGGTGGAGTTTTTTGGTGGCAGGGGAGGGGGCTATCGGGGCGGCCCCCTGTGAGAAGCTTCTCGAAGCTCCCCCAGCTCCAAGTCAGCTCCACTTCTGTTTGGGAAATTGAGCCCATCAGCTGCGCCTCTGCGATAACATATTTAAGAAGGGACGTGGTGACGGGCAGTGGGACTGGTGAGGAGGAGTTGCTGCAGCTGCGTGAACACCAAGGTCAGTGGAGGAACGGAGGAAGAAAGGAGGGGGGAGGTGTGCCGGAGCAGAGACCCCCCTGTATCCTGTGGGGAGACGGCAGGGTAGCCCCCCCTGCCACCCATGAAGATCTACGGTGGAGCAGACACTGATTTATGGCCTGTTGCTCCTGCTCGGTTGATCAAGGTTGTGTGCCCGAAGAAGGCCGGGGTCTCATGGGAAAAGGTAGCCATGGGAGGAATTCAAGTCAGAGAAAGTTTGTGGAGGACTGTCTCCTGTGAGAGGGGGACCATGATGGATCAGGGGGTAACAAGTTCCGGACACTCCCCTCACCGCAGATGGCAGAAGTGGCAGCACTGACTGCACCCCCCATTCCCTGCCCCTGCGCCCCTGGGGGAGGAGGTAGAGATATCGGGAGCAGAGCTGAGCCCGGGAAGAAGGGAGGGGTGGGGGGAAGGTGTTCTCCAGATGTGGCAATGCTTCTCACTGTCCCACTCTGTTATGTGTTGTTAGTGTCTGTAATAAATGTATGTTTTTTTCTTCCCCTAACGAGTCTGCCTTTTGCTCGTGACCATAAAGGGGGATTTTTCCCCATCCCAGTCCTATCTCGAACCCCAAGCCTGGCTCTCTGTCCCTTCTCATTGCTGGAGGGGAAGGGAGAGAGAGCTGCTGCGTTGGGGTTGGCTGCCAACCAGGCCCAAACCACGACAGTGCTGTAGCACGTGTAGCCTCTTTCCAGCAGTGAATCTGGGGGGGCTGCTTCTGAGGTCAGACAACTGGCGCTGGCCAGAATCTCTCACTGGGGCACGATGGACAACACTGGGGATGTCCTGCCCCAGCAGTCCTGTCCCCTGCTGCCTGGCCTGCCCCTCGCCGCTGTGGCTTTCTGTTCCCACATTAAGAACTGGTATTTGCCAAAACGTAAGCGGTGACGCGCGTGTGAATAAATTGCGCGCGCTCCTTAATGGCCTTCAAATTGTTGGATTTATGCTGGATGCTTCTATCCCAAGTTCAAGTATTGGCTTTTTAGGTTTTTCTTAACTTGCAAATTCGTGTCACCTCAGATTTGCAACCAGTTTTTATTTCCCTTTTAGTCACTCAGCAAACATTATGACCAGGTTATTTTTAAAGGTCTTTTTGAGTTGCCTTATTGATGTGGTATGGTATTTTGCTGTCACAGGAAGTAAATCCTTGTGATTATGGACCATGTAAAACATTTCATGTTGGTTTGTAAAGGCCACATCCTACCTGAGAATCTCTCAGGTAACTTGTTTCAAATACTCGATTGATGAAGGAATGTTCCCAATGCCCAAAAATGTAAATTACAGCTTCTGTGAGCATAGTTACTCTATCCATATAGACATTTTATCTTTAAAGCTGTATTTTCGTTTCGCATTCTTGTGCAGTAGCTCTTACCTTTTTTTAATAACTAATGCAATTCTGTCCTTCAGAGTTACTGGTTTTCAGTACTTACCTTTGCACAGACCGATGGAACACTGGCAGTATTTTGGTTATAACGAGACAGCCTTCCAAAGGTCTTTGGAAACATTGAAGATGCACTTCTTGCTGTTGTCGCTTTTTGATCTAAAAAAGGAAAACCATTAATGGCTTGGTTTTTTGAGTAAACGTGATCATGATGCCACTATAGCTGGATAGGTGTCACCTATTTTGCAGCAATTTAAACATTAAAAAAGTTGACCAGTTTTCAAACTGCTCAGCTCAGTGAACAGCCATCTAACAAGGAGGAAGTCTGGTATCTCCACCAAGACCCTTCTCTAAGAAGATCAAGATCCAGGAGTTTTCTTTCTGCAAATACCTGGATCTGAATGATCCCCGTGCCTCAGTTTCCCTGTGGATAAAATGGGAATGATGTTACTTTCTTGTTCGCTAACACTGGAGTGCTGCCAAGCTTCACTCATTAATATTCTAAGATGCTTGCTGAGGCTCTGGGATGAAAATACTTCAGTAAAGCATGTAAACAGTGCAGAAAATACTTAAAGTGGATTGGTTTCCTTGTTTGGGTTACAGAATTAATGCCATCAACTAAACACCATGTCCTTCTTTGTAGTGATTTTTTTTTTTTTTTCAAATGATGCATCTATTTTAAAGGAAAACAAAATCTGAAGTTTGTGATTAAAACTCTAACCAATTCATGTAGTTTTTCTTCTACCTGTAATGACAGATTTCCTATATGATTCATTACAACCTTAGCTCCTGTACTTGAGAACCACAGTGGCTTTGTAAGTTCTGTTGGGATTTTTTCCTTGTATACTGAGAATTTTTTTAAAAATACGTCATTTTGAGTCTAATATATAACAAACTGAACACTGTTAAATCCTTCTGTTATTTGAGAAGAATCGATGCTGTAAGAAGGAAAAATTAAAATCCGGATTTTAAAAACATTGTACTTATTATTCATGCCATTTCAAGGTATGCGTTCTGAATAGATAGGCCTTGTGTTAATGACTTTGTGAGGTTTTGTCTGTCCCTCTCCAGGAGGTGACCCCGAGTGGTGGCCCTGCCAGTGGCTGGGCACTCCGTTGCCTGGCTGAGCTGTAGCTCCACCGGCCATTGCCCAGCGCTTGGCTCAGGTTTTGGGGTGTATCCAGGGCTTGCTAGGAAGGGCCCCCTCCAGAGGCAGTTTGGACTTGCCCTCCTCCGTTACTGGTGCTGGCAGCCCTAATTTTGGTTTTGGAACCTATTTTTCCACCTCTGACTCTTCTCCAGCACCATGAGGGTGAGGTGCACTGCGGAGCGGCGGAGGAACGAAGTACCGAGATGGACTCAATGTGGGTGATAAAGCATCGGGGTTTTTTATTGGTCCAGGGTACACATATTTATACAGACAACGCTAATTATTATGCCTACTAGTCACTAGCTGGTTGGCTTAAGCTCTAAAGGTCATATTCGCACAGTCCACCTACTTGCGGTTAGCTAGCCCACAAGCTTCTCCTAACACTAAGTTTCTCAGGCCACTATTCCTAATTCCCCTTAACCTGTTTTCGACACACCACGGTACCCAAGGCCGAAGCGTCCTTGACATTCTTCATGTGTCAGCAGCTGCAGGCAAACCCTAGTGGGGCCCAGCATCAGCGAGGCAGCATCAGCCCCTAGAACAGGCTCTGATCGTACAACTGCTCGGGGGGCTCAGGACCCTTGTCTCTGAGCCATTCTCCAACAGTGCACCAGCAGAGTGCAAACCACAATTAAAGTGCTCTTTTTAATTTTTTTTTTTTCCTGTTAATTTGGGATTCTTACTGATCAAGATTTGCTTTCGCTGCCAGCCAGTTAGTCCTGCGGTTAGTTGTTACAGGTTTTACGCAGCTTGGAAGAGTCCCCGTGGGCAGCAGTTCGTTAACGTTTAGGCAGGCAGAGAAGGCCCTGCACTGGTGGGGTGGGAGGGTCTGGGGGTCACTGCAGCACCCCAGTGCCGGTGCCCTCATGGCGCACCTATTCGTGCCGTAAATGGGAGAGCCAGGCTGCAGCATGACACTCCTCCAGGGATGCCAGTGGCTGTACTTGCTGACAGATGGCCAATAGTGTGTTACAGTTCAGGCTTGAGAAACCAGTGATGTAAAACTTTTTAGGAGGGGTTAAATTTGGGGGCTAGTTCTACACCTTCTACTGGAAACATTCAATTTCCCTATTTCTTGAAGAGAGGGATCATCATATTGAATATCAAGCCGTGACCAACTCACTCCATTATCTTGTTCGCAGTGCAGCATCCAATGGTTGAGAAGAGCATACAGAAAAT